CACACACGCAGAGCCAGTCTTAGGAGCACGGAATGTCAGTTCTGGGTTATAAGATCCTTATTCATTAGATGAGAAAATAGAGACCCAGAGCAGTTCAGCCACTTGTTTAACTAGCTAATCCAGAGGACTAGTGGATTCTTTAAACCATTTAAACTTTTATTTCATTCTGGAACTGAAGGATGGGAAGGAGTTTCCATTAGAAATGACTTCATCTGAAGTGCCACTGCCCGGAGTAAGACCTCCTGGAAAGGCACCAAGGTGGTGAGGTCTCTCTTCATTCTTTTGTGGAACCCCACAGCTACTATAGAGGGTTCCAGGTGACTGGGAGTCAACTCCGACTGTCCTGAATGCCAGTTGCTCCCTCTGACAGCAGACTGTGACAGCCCGCTGGGGCTGAGCGGGTGTTAAGCAGGGCTCTGCTGCCCCATGCCCAGCCCAGGGAGCCCTGGGAGCCTGTAGGGCGGTGGGAAGGAGGAAGGGTGCCTTCAAAGCGGCCACCACAAGATGTTTTGGTTTAAGCATGGGACACTGTTCTCCCTTCAAAGCCCAAGATAAAAGGATAAAAGCTGCTCAGGAATGCCCTGCAGGGGCATAGGCTTTGATGCTGTTGGGAAGGCCGGGACCCTTTTCTCCCTCTGTAAGTAACTCAGCCCATCCACAGCCTCAAGACCCCGGCCTTCTTGAGGGGGAGAGCCGGCAAGGTCAACCGAGCACAGCTTCCCACGGACGGGTGCTTCCCAGAGTGCTTCTGCAGAGAGGCCGCCCAACCCTGCTTCCACCCTTCCAGGGGCAGGACCTGTGCTCCCTTATGAGGGCACCAGCGTTGGATAGGGCCGCTTTCTTGTAGGGAAGGTCGCTCTCTGTGCCATCTATCTGCGGGGCCCAGCTCTGAGTCTGGGCCTCCACCTGCTGCTCTCTGTCCACGGCTGCCCTGTGGAAGTTTGAGTCTACTGTCTGCTGCGCTCCAGCCAGCCCTGCCCGGGTTAGTCTTGGCCATCCCTGCCAGATGTGGCTGTGAAGGCCTCACCCTCCTCTGCCCGGGGTGTTCCTGAAAGAGAAAGCTCCAGAACTGGAAAATCCAAACCCCAAAACACCAGTTGCAGACTGACCAAAGCAGAGCCACATGGGCTGCTGTCTCCCTGGCCGAACAGACTTCTCAACAACCTGAACCATGGAAGCTGTGACCTGTTTGGGATTTGGGATTTCCTACCTACTGCTTTGGACAGGCCATATGCATATCTCCTCGCCCCGGGGCTTGGTGAGCCGCTGCAGGGCTGGGCTCTGCTCTCTTCCTCTTTTTTTTTTTTTTTGAGTCAGAGTCTCACTTTGTTGCCCAGGCTAGAGTGAGTGCCATGGAATCAGCCTAGCTCACAGCAACCTCAAATTCCTGGGGTCAAGCAATCCTCCTGCCTCAGCCTCCCGAGTAGCTAGGACTACAGGCATGTGCCACCATGCCCGGCTAATTTTACATATATATATATATATATATATTTTTTATATATATTAGTTGGCCAAATAATTTCTGTCTATTTATAGTAGAGACAGGGTCTCGTTCTTGCTCAGGCTTGGTTTCGAACTCCTGACCTTGAGCAATCCGCCCCCCTCGGCCTCCCAGAGTGCTGGGATTACAGGCGTGAGCCACCACGCCCAGCCTGCTCTCTTCCTCTTTGAGTCCTTTTGCCTTGATATGAATTCCAGCTGGGGGCAAGAATTCTTTAGGTGTTTTTTAGAAACAACCACAAAGTACAAACCACAAGCATGCCTGCTGCCCTCCATTTATGGGGTTCCAGCATGGGGATTCAGGGTCTCCAACCCACTTAGTGCTGAGTTCTGGGCACACACCCTCAGGGGGCCACTGGCCTCAGAGGCCTGTGGTTGGGTGAGCACTCACAGGAGGCCGCCATGTGTGGGCCAGGGCAGGAATCCCAGCTCCAGTGTCAAGACAGGCTCGACCACCGAACCAGCGGTCATTAGGCTTTTGTCAGGGGAAGAGGCTGAAGCAGGGCAGGGCTGGTCACATCGCAGCAGGGGGAGCTTTCGGGGCAGAGTGTGACCCTGAAGCCCCAGAGCTGACTTGGGAGGATGGGGCAGTGTTTGCCTGGACTGTTCCTTAATGAGCTCATCCAGCCACGTGGTCCTTCCCTTCCACCCACTCAGCAACATTTACATCCCGCAGAGTGATCCTGGCGAAAGCGATTCTTTCATTGCCTGCCTAACTGGACGAACAAAGCCCCCAGGGGTTATTTGGACAAGAGTAGAAAAGATCCCAAGAATGTGACCTGACCCCAAAAGTACAGGGGGAATAATGGAAGCTTCTGCCAAGTCTTTGGGGATTAAGTGGTGGGCATTAGGGTGGGGGGATGACGCTGTTATGTCCTATTTCTTATGCACCAATAAAGGCACAGCCTTAACACAAGAGGAACAAAGGGGAGCCACCCTGCTCTGCGGCAGGCGGGGCAGCTGCGTGCGCTTGGGAAACGTGTCTGCTCTTCCCTGCAGCACGGTCAGGACTCTGGAAACTGCACTTGAGGGATGCGTACGTGTTTGTGTGTGTGCCTGTGTGTGTTTGTGTGTGTGCGTGTGTGTGTGTGTGTGTGTGTGTGTGTTACAGCAAGTGTCGCTGTGGGTGGTCCCGAGGACAAACCAAGCAGCACACGGAGAGTTGGAGAATCAGAGTTTATTTTGCCAGCGGGCTCAGAGGGGCCTCGCCACCAAATTCTGAGTACCCTCTACCCGATGTTTTTGCCACTTTTATTAAATTGGAGTAGTCCAAGGGGTGGGGTATCAGGTGTAGGTTAGTTGATGCAATAGGTTAATATTATGTTGATGCGCCAGGCAGTAGATTTAGTGTTATGCTGATGCCAGGCAATAGGCTAGTTGATGGGCCAGGTAACAGGTTAGTATTATGCTGATGTAGGTCTTCTTCTTCTTCTTTTTTTTTTTTTTGAGTCGCTTTGTTGCCCAGGCTAGAGTGAGGGCAGTGGCATCAGCCTAGCTCACAGCAACTCCGGCCACGCTCTTTCTATTGTGAAGCTCCTTCCCAACTAGAGGAACCCCAAGCCGTCCCCCTGAGCAGGCTCAAGTGGTCTGACCCTGGCTGCTCCTCCTTCTTCCACTCTCTCCCCCAGCTTGAACAATCATCCTTGGCCGTCTATTTCCCGAAGTCGGGGTCATCCTGTGTAGCTCTAGTCCAGTGCCATGTGTGGCCTTGGGCAGGAGGCAGGTGAGGAGCAGGATCATTCAAGTTGGGTTTGGGCTCTGGGATACTAACTTTGGTCTTTTCCTAGGTCTCTTACCTAGGAAACAGGGCAACAGCCTCCTTATTCCTTCATGACATCAGATGGATTATGAACAGCCCAAATGATAAGGGAAACCCCCATCTGCTACTTGGTGCTCCAGCACCAGAGACT